GTAATGTGATAATCTGTGTCCATGCTATTAGTGAGCAGATGGCAGACGTTTGAAGACATTTCAAATGGAAGATTTTTGTTATTTGCAGTTGGGGTGACAATCCTAGTTTTAATTCTAGGAGAGAATTGTTAGAAAATTTGAATTACCCGATGAAGTGGTTTTATGAAGTATGAAGACCATCATACCAAACACCCCACCCCATATGTAACAGGAATTGTTTCAAAATAAAATTTCAGCAAATACTGAATGCTTATTGTTGTTTGTATTCAGGTAACTTAATGTGTTAAGAATGTTAACAGTATAGTAACATTTTTTTTATTGTAAGCAGAGTTTTTCTTTAAAATGTACCTATTTACACCCATTTCCACTGTTAGAGAGTTGTTTTAAATGATCAGTTTTCAGGTATTGTGAATTGCCATTTCTGAGATTGTTGATGCAGTAGTGTCTTCTTTGTTTTGTATACTGATTGTTGTTGTGTAGACGGTATATTCTATATGTTATATATTTCTGTGATTCTTGTGTAGGCAGTGGAGTACAACGTGTGCAGAATACATATATGTTTATCGATACTGCTTGCTTGCTTTTTGCCTCTGTGGACATGTAAGGATATTGGCCTCCGTTATGACAGGTGCTGATTCTTCTGTTATTTGCTTCCATTGTACTGATATTGCTAGCTTAACATGAAACTTTGCCAGTAGCAAGTTAGTATCAAGAGCTTGTAGCGAAGCAAAGTACTTACTTGCCAGAGAAAAATGATATTGTTAGTGGGTCATATAGGATGAGTATGAAGGTGTTTTGTTGTTCTGTAGAGCACCATATAATGCTCTTTACCACAACATGGACTGCAGTACATTGAAAAAGCCTGAAAGGAGATGAATTCAGATATAATTATGTAACAACACATCCACACTTTTTGAAGTACTGTTTATGGTGGTATACGAAGTGTTACATCTGGGAAATGGAAAATAAATTTCTTAGGGGTTCTGATAGGCTAACATTCTAAAAGTGGGCATATGGGAGACAAGACAAGAGGTGGGATGATAGTAAGATGTTGTTTTAAGGTTACATGTTTTTAATTTGTACTGTTTGTAGAGGGCCCATTGGTGAGCTGTCATTTGGGTTATATTTTCAGGGTTTAATAAGTGTTTGTAATGTTTTTATCATATGAAATATTCCAGACTGTTTTTAGCCAACTCTCTTAATGACAGAAAATAGCTGTTTACTCTTTTTCATATAACTTTATGGTTATTGTGCCAATATGGCATGTTTTTAATTTCCAGCAAGGTGATAACATAGTGGATGTGCAAACTCTTGAGATGGGATCAACGTTCGTACATTCTGATTAAGTAATAGATGTGTAATCTTGACTAGGAATCCAACCTGAAACTGTGATACAATCAAACGAGATTACTGATTCAAAAGCATATTTAAAATTATCATGTGCTCTTAGGCAACTTTAAGATACAGGCTGCCAACAAAGAGACAGAGAAAACAATACAACCAGTAGCTTCATCATATTGGAAGACTGTTTAAATTAGGGCAGCTTAGAGGTTAGTGTTATGCCGTTCTACTGTGTTAGTGAAATATAATGGGAAGGAATAATGTAGTCAGTAAAGTGACTAGTTCCTGGTTGGACATCATGTTTATATTCCTAACAGAGGTAGGAATTTTACATTTTTATTCAAAGTGCTGAAAATTAATGCATAATGGAGAAGCTGTATGTCGGTCTGCAGGTTTCATTTCAGAAACAACCAAACGGATTTTGATGAAACTTGTAATGAAGATCTGTATTAACAGTTGATGAGTGAATTTTGTTTTCATTTGTATCCCACCCATATAAACCGAATTTTATACAAAACTCCTTGAACTTTGAGGCACTATGCTACAAGCCGGAAGCCCACGGGTTAGATTCCTGATGTCATTGGATCCTTCATTTGACCAAATCCTTCCAGCCACACAGGGTTCAACTCTGCCTCTAATGGAAATGAGTACCAGTACCTTTACCAGGGGTAAAGGGCGGCCAGTGCGTAAGGCTTACAACCTGACCTCCATCTGTGAGCCAGTTGTCTAGAAAATGTGGGAGCGTTGATGTCTCACAACCCTATAGGCTCCCACAGCCTGTTACAGGGTTGGCTATACCTTTTTACCTTTTATGAATTGAACTTTGTAGTCCCCTACATGACTTGTGCATATGATCCATGCATGTAAAAGGCATTCACTCATATGTTTGTTACTAGTCAGATTGAGAGTAGTTATGAATAGAACGAGAAGTCAGCAGCAAGTGTTTCCTATTCTCTTGTCATGTATGTCAGTTATGAGCTGGTAACAGAAGACTGCTTTTTTTGGAAGAAGCTACAAATATGAACAGAAGACTGCAGCAGTAAACTACACTGAAAGATATGCTTGAGTCATCAGTATTGCAAAAAGTTTGGTATCATATATATATATAGGTAGGTCACAGAATTTGTATATTTTGTATTTAATTGGATTATAGACTGCATTATTGAGTTTTAGAATTTTTGACAAAATTTGTTTTGTAGGTAAATGTTGTAAGTTCACAGAAATATTTTTCTCAATTACTTTTATGGTGGACAATTTCACATTTAAATTTCAGTGAGGTTTGTAGTAGTAAAATAAAATGTGGAGCCTATTAAGATGTACAGCTTTCATTTAAAATGTTTTCTGGTGTGGTAAATAATTAACAAGATACAGCCTCTATATAGTCTTGATGATGACAGCATCACAAACTAACCAACTGAAGAATATGCATGGAAAGGTAATTTCTGATTTTTCAGGTAGTATGAGTAATAGCTTTTTTTAAAATTTACATATTTCTTATGAGTGGAGAAAAGTGGTGAAAAGATAAAGATTCTGTAAGTAAAGATGTTTAGATATATCCTAACTTCAAACTGATATTACATATTTAATGCTGTGAATGAAATATACATTTTAATTGTTGAAAAGATTTACATCAGCAAAAAAATTAGCATCAAGGTCACTGATGTATGAGAGTTTGAAGAGAATGCACATGGAAAATATGTGTATCCCAAACTGGAGGATGGCTTTCCTCTCTTGTTATGGAATTCGTTTGGGCCCACTCACTTCTTGAACAGTCACATCTGGTGCAGAGATTAAGCCTAAAAGGACATTTACCTCTGTCTTGCTAGTGTTTTGTCACAGGGGTTATACATGGCATGTTGACCACAGATGATGTACTAAGGAAGGTGAAAAAGGAACTGGTCATGACCTGTTTTAATCCTTGTGCCATTTATAATATTTTATACACATAAGAATTTCTATTGCACTTGTCATTTACAGCGTATTCTGTCTGCCTTCCTGCTTCTTTGTGTCATTTAAGATATACTCTACAATCTATCTTTCAGTTACATTTTTTTTGTTTTGTTGTCATTGAGTGATCATGGATCAGGCATTGACTTTTTACTGTACTCAACTGACATACAAAATAATTTGAAAATTTGACAAAAAAGGAACAAATTTAGGAATTTCAGCAAATTTGTGTAATAAGATAATGGGTCCTCATGGGCAATGGGGAGTTGGTATTCACAATTTCAGATATAGTTTCCATCAGCAAGAGGTTGATGTAATGTGATGTCTATATGTATTTATGGGACAGAATATGCTGTCAGCTCTTTCAGTGAAGACAAAATGATGGATCAGGGCAAGGAGTCAGCCAGTGGTGTCCTGTTGTAGTGGAACTGCAAGGGGAACATTGGGCAGTGTCATGCAATGCATTGCTTATTATAATGAAATGTGAAAGAGTATTGCTGTGTTGCTATATGTGATTTGTTTTGGTCACTAAATAAGTTTTCTTCAAACCCCAAAGTTCATTCTTGGATGCACTGTATTATAGATTGGTTAAATTGAGGGTTCACCATGTGACCTAGAATGGGAAGTGATGCAAAAAGTTTGTGAAAACACCCGTGATAATGCAACCATTTGGAAGACTGAGAAGCAGCTAGAGAATAATGATAAGTTATGAGTAGATCCTGAGGACATAGATGTGAAGTTGGAATGCGGATGGAACTGGCCCAGAATCATGTCTGATGGCTGGCTTTGTATTTGCAGTGTTGAATATTCTGGTTCTGTTATCAGAGAAATTTACAGCTTTTACTATCTCTTGTTAGGTTTTTTTTATGTTCGAGTTGGTTAAATTAAACACGTGAACCTTTGAGGATTGAGTTAGATTCAGTAGTCAAATCATTCCTACATGCTGGCAAGTTAATCCAATTTTCATGCATTTATCATCACACACTATTGTGGGTTTTCTTAATGACAAAACTCTTTCCATTCCTAGCCATCCTCCCATAAGAACTCTTGATCCTGTATCCAGTGTTTCCTACTTTTTCATGTATCTGCTCTTGCCTGGTCATTCCAGCTTGTCATTGGCTTGCCCAGACATCATTTAATCAACTTTACTTTTAAGCTTTCCGATAAATTTAAAGGAAATTGACAAAAAAATGAAATTTATGAATGTACTGTATTGTCAGTGCATAACACAATATTTGATTTGTAAGATTTGAGGTTTTCATGGCAGTAACTATGAAGAAAGCGGTCTTCTGGGATGTGGCGCCGTGTAGGTATTGTGTTAACCGACGTTTCGGAGGAATGTATCACCTCCATTTTCAGGGTAGAAGAGAGAAGAAGAAAATCTGTGAGCGAGGAACCAGCCTGAGCAGGTGCTAACAGACTAATGTCAAGTCAAAAAAAAACCGAGCTGTATAAGAGCAGGAAGAGAAGGGAGAGAGGCTACATGGGAAATCAGTAGAGAGGAGAGGGGAAGGGTCTGGGGAGGTGTTTCCTAATATCCTGGTCTCAGATTATTTCCCTTTTTGTTTATTCCACAGTACTCTGCAATAACTTTGTTTCTAGTAATTGTTATCATTTTATGCTTCTCTTGGTCAGTCCTCATATTTGTTTGTGAAAACAGGCAATTCTAAACACCAATTAAGTTCTAAACTAATATTTTTTTCCCCCATCAGAAACATCTTTTTGAAGAATGGGTCAGTGGTGGATGCCGCTATTGCAACTCTGTTCTGCAATGGAATGGTTAACAGCCAGAGTATGGGGCTGGGTGGTGGGTTTATGATGACATTGTACTTACATGAGAGCAGAACAGCAATCACACTAAATGCAAGAGAATGTGCTCCCTTGAAGTCTAAACCTGACATGTATAACAAAGACAATGAAAAGTCAAAAAATGGTAAGTACTCTTCACATTAAATGCATTAGGAAATGGTGAATATAATCATTTTTTCTTTTTTTAACCCAAAATCAATATATTCTTCTGCTGTTGAATTTTAAAGCGTTTACATAATATTATAAGGAAATGTAGGTATTCAGCATTGGCTTGTCTGTGTCCCCCAATTTAGTAATTTGACAATTGACTGCTTTAACATTTTTCATGACACTCTGAATGCCTTAAGGTCACTTTTCTGTGTAAACTTTACATCCCTAACTGTAATGTGAATGCTTTAGGGCAAGAAATTCTAAACAAAACCGACTATTGAATTTATTTAAGCCATTTGAATTTAGTCTACACCTCCTCAGTTAACTTCCCCAAGATATATGTTAATGTTCTATGTATGCTTTCTCTCTCTTGAAGTTGTGTATTAATTTCTTATCTGGACCATGTATTTTAATGTCTGATGCATTTTATTTACCTTTGATTTATCCATCCTAACAATATTATATAGAGAGTACAAATTATAAAAGTTCCTCATTATGTAATTTTCGGATATGTTCCTCAGAACTGTGTGCTCTAACGCCCTTAATTTATTATCACATATGGGAGCGAAAGAGACTTAAGTTCCAGAGTAAATTAAAACAGTATGTACAATTATAATTGCATACTTCTTATTCTTTTGTTTTTCTTACATGGCAAAGGCAAAGGACAAATGTTTTCAACAAATCTAGAATGCATTCTGTGAGTCAACATCAGTGAAATCTTTTAATTTTTCTTTGGAGTCCAGTGAATTAATAGATTTGAGCACTAAACTGAGAAGGACCATAATTGGAAGAAGTTTAAAACAGGTTACTGACTCAGGATAGTTGAGATGGAACCTTGAATGAAGGAAACATTGATGAATATTAAATGAACATTCCATTGTACATAACTACTTTAATATATCTGATAAAACAGATAACAGATGTAAACGTTCAAGTAGTAGTACATATCTAATGTTTGTGTGACTTTCCAATATTTGTGTATGACAGGTGCAATGGCAGCTGGAGTACCGGGAGAGCTGAAGGGCTACTGGGAGGCTCACCAGAGATATGGCCGACTTCCATGGGAAGAACTGATATTGCCAACCATTCACCTTTGCGAAGAGGGATACATCATGAACAAGCATCAATCAGACTCACTAAGCATGAGGGCTAAACTCATTCCCATGGACCCCATACTCAGGTTTGGAAGCTTTGATGTATATGTAAAAAAGTAAAAGCAAAGTCATCCATTTGCTTAGAGACTAAGAAATATACCATTGTCACAAACTTTTAGATCTTATAATAAATGTGTCAACCNTATACAGTACAAATTATAAAAGTTCCTCATTATGTAATTTTCGGATATGTTCCTCAGAACTGTGTGCTCTAACGCCCTTAATTTATTATCACATATGGGAGCGAAAGAGACTTAAGTTCCAGAGTAAATTAAAACAGTATGTACAATTATAATTGCATACTTCTTATTCTTTTGTTTTTCTTACATGGCAAAGGCAAAGGACAAATGTTTTCAACAAATCTAGAATGCATTCTGTGAGTCAACATCAGTGAAATCTTTTAATTTTTCTTTGGAGTCCAGTGAATTAATAGATTTGAGCACTAAACTGAGAAGGACCATAATTGGAAGAAGTTTAAAACAGGTTACTGACTCAGGATAGTTGAGATGGAACCTTGAATGAAGGAAACATTGATGAATATTAAATGAACATTCCATTGTACATAACTACTTTAATATATCTGATAAAACAGATAACAGATGTAAACGTTCAAGTAGTAGTACATATCTAATGTTTGTGTGACTTTCCAATATTTGTGTATGACAGGTGCAATGGCAGCTGGAGTACCGGGAGAGCTGAAGGGCTACTGGGAGGCTCACCAGAGATATGGCCGACTTCCATGGGAAGAACTGATATTGCCAACCATTCACCTTTGCGAAGAGGGATACATCATGAACAAGCATCAATCAGACTCACTAAGCATGAGGGCTAAACTCATTCCCATGGACCCCATACTCAGGTTTGGAAGCTTTGATGTATATGTAAAAAAGTAAAAGCAAAGTCATCCATTTGCTTAGAGACTAAGAAATATACCATTGTCACAAACTTTTAGATCTTATAATAAATGTGTCAACCATTTTGTGTGTCTTAACAATGTTCAGTTGGTCATCAGCCATCACACATCTCTTACCATTTGTCCTGCATATGTAACATAATCTTGCAAAACAATTATATAACAATCCTATAGATTTTAAACTGGCTTTGAAGATTTTCTTATGCGATCATTCATTTTGTACTTTAGATGAATATTTTGATTTTAGATATGACAAGAATAATGATACTGTCATGTGTTTAGTGTAGAACGCGACACATAACTTCACGCCTTATTTGATATAGCGAACTTATTGCACATTTGCTCTTACAATCACACAAATTACAATCTCACAATTACTGCTATCTGCAGTATCACAAATGCTACACTGCAAATGCTGGTAACTCGTAACTGTTGCCTTGAGAACTAACTCGTAGGCCTGCTCGGAACTCTCCGCTGGCTAGATTGAGAACTTGAGAACTGTGTCTTGTAACTAACTTGTGAACTCGTAATTTGAGAACTGACTGTGAATAGTCTTTGCTGCTCCGTATCTAGCCTCTTTCCGGACAACACAGAAAACAGCCACGTAATAGGCATCGCTGTTATTACCGTCATCTCTCGCAACCACTGTTTACCTGCTTTGCCTAGCAACTGCTGTTTACTCGTGTTGCACAGCGACCAGTGTGCTGGGACTCGGCTCGCTTCGGCACGTCACGGCTGGGGGGGGGGGCGTCATCCATATCGTAACACGTCACAATACTATTCACTTGTAATGACTGTCTGCCAAATATTGTTATGTTGTTTAATGTTTTGATTGATTATGTACGTTTTTTTATTGCTCCTCCTACATGACTGTTTCCACATCCTCAATTGCATGGATCTGTGGAATGAATGGAATGGCCGTGTAATTTCTGAAAACAAGTCACAAGGGAAAAGGAAGATAGTCTTATTTGCATCCATGGATTTACTTGTATCCTTAATTTTGCAACTTCTTCCTGCAGTGATCTGGCTGTAGAACTTGAAAAATTGCTTATGCCCACACTTTTAATTTCTCATAATAACTGTCCTGCATCTGTACCTGCTGAAACTCCACCATTTAGAATTATGACAGGATTACATATCTGGAAACTAAGCTTAGACAGAACACTTTTTTTTTCTCACTGATTTATTATTATTCCTTTGCAGGGAGTTATTTGTTAACCCAAAGACTGGTGAATTTTTCCACCATGGAGATCGGATCAGACCAAAGAGATTTTGTGAAACGCTTAAAATTATTGCAAAAAATGGTGGAAATTGTTTATATACTGGATCTTTGGCAAAAATGTTTGTCTCTGATATCCAGAAAATGGGAGGAATTATCACAGAAGAAGACATGGCTAGTTACAGGTATAACTAACTCACTCCATGGTACAGTCTACTTTGAAAAGTTGCTAGTGACTCAACTGATCCAAACATTTCGTACTTTTATATAACCCGAGGATTAATTACAATGTTGAAAACCCCTCCATTGGAAACTGGTGGTTGAATTCACACATTTTCACATCACATTTATCCTAGATTCAGGATAAAAATTATCCTTCCATTTATGACTAAATCTCACAAGTAGTCTCTCTGTTTTCTTGAAGTTATTTGGCAGAAAGTGTAAATGAACATCATTATTCTCTTGGAGCATGGAGTATGCCCTGCCACTCTCATGTTGCTGATATAATCACCTTAGCAATCTGAGGTGAGAAGTATAAATAGTGATCCTCCTTATATTGCAGTTTTTTTTTTTTTCAGTTCTTTTCAACTCTGTCATTCATGTTGTAAACATGAGATGCTAAACATTTGGGTACCATAAAATAAGTTGTTTCAGCTGTTATTTTATTCTGTAATTAGCTGAAACAATTCAAGATTAGGCTAAAAGTATTTTCCAACATTCAGCCAGTTGTCAAGGTTCAAATATTATTGCGATATATCTTCCTGTTTGCATAATTTTGTTGTGAAAAGTTAATTTCTTTTTTACTTTTTACAATTTCTTATTACCTATGAATTGTCTATAAAGAAATAATTTGATGTTCAAGCACTCTACGTTGTTCAGAACAGAACCATATTGTAATATTGGTACAATAACTATATTAAAGGCATTCTGATGGGTTTGGGTTGGTGATGAGAAGTTCAGAAAGAATTTTGGTCAAGCTCTTAGTAGCCAGACTCTTGGAAGGTAGAGAAAAAAGTGGGAAAACAGTGTTAAAATGTTTCCTAAGAAGACAGATTATGGAGATATGAATTGGATTATACTGGCTTACTATTGGTAGGCCTTTGTGAAGAACTTAAGAATTCAATAGAAGAGAATGCTTTTCTCTATCTACTGAACTAATACCATGGGACCAAGCCCTTCTTGAGAAGCCAACAGTCTCTCAGCTACTCAAGAAGTCCTCAAAATTTTATGAAACTGAAAGGTCCATTACTCTGTTCACAAGAGCCTGTCACTGGTCTCTATCCTGAGTGAAATGAATCCAGTCCATACCCAATCCTGTTTCTCTAAGATCCATGTTAATTTTATCCTCCAATCTTCATATAGGTCTTCCTAGTGGTCTCCTTCTTTCTTGTTTTCCAAACCAAACCTTGTATGTATTCTTCTTCTCTCAAGTACATGCTACATGCTCTGCTCATCTCATCATCCCTAACTTGATCATTCTAATTATATTTGGTGAAGAGTGCAAGTTATGAAGCTTCTCATTATGCAAGTTTCTCCAGCCTCCTATTGCCTCCTCCCTCTTGGGTCCATATATTATCCTCAGCACCCTGTTCTCAAACACCTGCAGTCTGTGTTCTTTCTTTAATGTAAGAGACCATGTTTCACACTTATACAAAACTACAGGAAAAATTTCAGTTTTTGTATATTTTGATCTTTATGATTTTAGACAGCAGACAAGACTAAAGAATATGAACTGAATGGTAGCAAACATTACAGAGATTTAATCTGCTCTTAATTTCATAGTGAATCAAAGTATGATATGTTACTGTCATTCTCAAATATTTGAACATTGTCTTATTTTCAAATGCTCTGTTAGGTATCTCTATATTATGATTTTGTCTCACTGTCTGCTTACCGGCAAAAACCATGTACCATGGACTTAATTATGACCATATAATAAATATTTCTTTGCTTTGTAAAGTTGTTAACACTTTACAGTCTGACACTTGTTTGACTTTATTTAATATTATAGTGCATTTAGTAAAAGATGTTATACTTTGAAGAAAGCAGTCTTCTGGGATTTGGCACCGTGTATATGTGGTGTTAACCGACGTTTCGGAGGAACGTGTCGCCTCCATCTTCAGGGTAGAAGGAAAATATAAGAAATCCGCAAGCGAAGAGACCGTGAGAACCGGTAAAAGCAGACCAGTCTTGGTCTCTTCGCTTGCGGATTTCTTATATTTTCCTTCTACCCTGAAGATGGAGGCGACACGTTCCTCCGAAACGTCGGTTAACACCACATATACACGGTGCCAAATCCCAGAAGACTGCTTTCTTCATAGTCACCACCGTGAAAGCCTCAAATCTTACATGTTATACCTTGATTTTTATCCAGCCACATATAGCTGTAAATGCTTATGCATGTTTATACCTACACATTTACTCTGAATGTGGTTTAGAATATTCTTTATATGACTCTTATGACATGCACAGGGTGAAATGGGATGAGCCTATAACAATAAATCTCCGAGACAAGATGACACTATTTAGTTCCCCACCTCCAGGCAGTGGTATTCTACTTGGTTTCATTCTCAATATTCTTGATGGTTACAATCTCACCTCGGAGAGTATCAAGGACATCAACAGTACCATTCTGACTTATCATCGTATTATTGAAGCATTTAAATTTGCTTATGCAAGAAGAACTGAACTAGGAGATGGAGATTTTGTAAATATTACAAATGTAAGTATAATGGTGATGTGTAGAGCAAAGTTTCAACTTATGCAGAGTGTCCCATGACATAAAGTTGAAACATCACTTTTGCTTATGGGTGGTCATTACAGGTCAAAGATAAAGAGCAACCAGTTCCCCTGATCTTAGTATTTAAGGCATAACAGACATTCTGAGTTGCTGAAGTGAACACAAATGCAAGTTTACCATTTTCCAATTTTTATTGCAGCAATAACTTATTAAAATAATTGATCAGCAAAGTGAACACCTGTTCTTGGGCAAGTTTATATTTGCAAATCTTATTGAAGTGATAAGTTATGAAAATAACAGCTCACTTTGGTCAACACCTGCTCTTGGACACATTTGTTGATTTATAATTTTAAGTGAACCAGTAATTTATTACAATCATTGCTCAATATGGCCATCTTTCTCTTAGGCAAGTTAACTGTTTTAGGATTTTTATTGATGCAGTAGGTTATTAAAATAATTGCTAAAATTAGTCATCTCTCTCTCTTGGACAAGTACTCATTCCCTTCAAAGAAGTTCTAGTAGCACTGCAATCCATGGTGCCATATTTTCTGATGAGCACTGTGGTATGAAAGATGTGCCCATTTGCTTTGCTACCATTTCTTATTTTCATACATGAACAAGGCTCTTCATATGCCCCTATAAGTAGTCATCCGAAGGTGTCATATTGCCAGCCTTGGTGGCCAGACTTATCCAGTGATCTGAAGCGGCCTCCTTAGTCTAGAGGTAATGTTCCCCCCTCATGACTCGTAGTACGCAGGTTCAAATACCCGGCGGAGGTCGTTGAATTTTTAAGGTCGGAAAAATTCAGGGAACAAGTCCTCCGGGAGGGACTTTAAGCCATGGGTCCCGTGTTGTAGCTTTATGGCACGTAAAAGAACCTCATACCTCCAAAGGAGGTCACTGAGCAAAATTGCGGACGTTTGCTGCCCAACAGCAGTCACTAATACCTCCGGTAGATGGGGGAAGCATTATAGATACTTCTCAGCCAGTAGAGCCGGTCTCGCTGGCTGGGCGGGACTGATGGTAAGCACCAATACCGGTAGGATATAGAGGCTGGTAGAAATCATAGAGGGAAGCACAATGGACCACTACAGGTCTAAGTGCATGGGGAAACCCACCCTCTCTAATAACTAACTAGCTAGCTAACTAACTAACTAACTATCCAGTGATCTTCAAACCCCTGGTCTGTAAATTGTCTTTCATATCTTGCAAAATCTGCTGGTCCACGTTTAGCTGAAACCACATGTCTTGATTGACATATCTTAAGCATTTCTGGCAGACACTCTTCAGCAAAGTTTAAGTACTTCTGTGCAGTTAAGTTGTGTTCAAACAGTCCAATAAGACCATCATCAATAATCTTGTCCTAGATCTGTGTTGAAAATTAGTTTTTTTCTTTTGGATTCTCCTAGGCAGTGGAATTTCTTTGATTCTTTATTCCAACCCTCATTAAGGGCTTGAACAACTGCTGGTAAAATAGATAAAAACCGTCACTGTTAAAGAATTACCTGTACCATTGTTCATGAGACATGGTTTTATGAGGTGGTGTAAAAACACTGGTGGTTGGACCTCTACTCGTATAACAATTACCAACTACCTACTGTATCAACTATTTGCTGTATTGAACACTCAAGTCATTTGCTCTGGATATTTATCATTTTCTTGCAAGTACCTGTGCTTTCCAGTCATGCATTTCACCAATTTAGGAATTGTCTCTTGTATTATTGACCAACCACTGCCACATTCCCATCACAGAATCCAAAAACAAAATGGATATCTATATATTCTTTCTTAGTATTGTGTACATTCTGAATAGCACAATAACCCTGTTTGTCACACTAATCCAACACTAGCCCTGCTAATAAGGGAATATGTGCCAAGCTGTCTGTGTTGCAGTGTTGCCAAACATGTTTCCATTGTTAGCGTCCCACATTTAGAAACCACTCACTCACTCATGGAGGTGAGCTCTTCTTGAGAAGCTGCCTATTGTGCAGCTACTCAAGAACTTCCCAGCATTTTATGGAACCTGAAGGTTCATTACCATGTTCACAAGAGCCATCCACTAGTCACATCCTGAACCAGATCAATCGAATCCATACCATCCCATCCTGTATCTCTAAGATCCACATTAATATTTTCCACCCACCTATGCCTTGGTCTTCCCAGTGGTCTCTTTTCATCTGCTTTCCCGCCAATATCCTATATGCATTCCTCATCTGCCCCATTCATGCTACATTCCCTGCCCACCTCATCCTCCTTGACTTCATCATTCTAATTGTACTTGGAGAAGAGTAGAAGTTATGAAGCTCCTCATTATGCAGTTTTCTCCAACCTCCTGTCACTTCATCTGTCTTTGCTCCAAATATTCTCAAAACCCTGTTCTTGAACACCCTCAGTCTATGTTCCTCCCATAATGTCAGATACCAAGTTCCACACCCATACAGAACCACAGGCAAAATTATAGTTATAATATCTGAACTGTGCCACATTTTTGAAACACGTGTTACCTAGCAACCTCCTTACTGGCATCAATTAAAGTCTGTGTTTCTCTTTATGGTATCTATATTATTACCCAGTAGATTCACACCATCAATGTAGACCAACAGCTGATGTATCCCATTTAATTTAAGTCCCACTTGGTTTTCCTGTACCTTCCTAATGGAATATTCTAAAGCAAAGTTGAAAAGCAGTGGCAATAAAGCATCTTCTTATTTCAGACCATTCAGGATAGGAAAATTATCAGACAAATGTTTACTTATACGGATTTTACTATACATTTTGTTTAAACATTTTAATCACCCTAACTAGCTTCATGTATACCCCAAAGTCTATGAGAATATTGTACAATACTTCCATCGTGACTGAATCATAGGCTTTCTTGAAGTCTTGAATAGTTGATGTACTGTCTCATTGTACTCCCATTTTTTCTCCAGTATCAGAATAATGCAAAAGATCTGATCAGTAGTTGATCTGCTATGTCAAAACCCACACTGATGATCTCTAATAATTTCATCTGTATATGGATTACACCTTGAGCGAAGGATAAGTAAAAGTAAGAAAAGTAAAGGTATCCCTGTAACATGCTGTGGAGGCCCATAGGGTTGTGAGATGTTGAGGTTCCCACATTTAATAGACAATCGGCTCATAGATGGCGGCAAGGTTGTCAGGCTTACATGCTGGCCGCTCTCTACCCCCAAGAATATTCAAAGATTATTCCTGGTACTCATTTTTGTTTGAGGCTGAGTTGACCCCAGGTCCAGAGTGCGGCTGGAAGGATTAGGTCAATTGAAAAAAAATCCAATGACCTCATCAGGACTTCAACCCATGACCTTCCATCTTATAGCATAGTCCCCCCCCCCTTATGAAGTTGATAGCAGTGATATCCTCCAATAATTACTGTGGCCAGTTTTATCACCCTTCTTGTGACCTGATACAATAATAGTCTCCTTCCACTGATGAGGCAATTTTTCCTTATGCCAAATAGAAGTAATTAGCTTATGAGTCTCAGAATATAATACAGGGTCTGGAATGGAAACTTAACGGTTTCTAAATTAGTGCCAACTTAAAAACGTCAGGTGTCCCTGTCGGACCCTGTATTTCGCCTCCTGCTTGAATAAGTTCTGCCAGAATTTGATCACTGCCTGGCGATTTACACCTTTTCAATTTTGCAACAGCAATTCCAACCTCAAAAGGGCTAGGATCATGTGCTAATGGCTCAGCTGTATGTATTTCTATTTGCCTAACATCACTGACGCTATGTACGTGTACATTCAATAACAGAGAAATAGTTCTTCCAGCAATTCAAAATGTTGTAGGAATCTGCAAGCAGAGCACCATTCTCATCTTTCACTAAGTTACTTCTAGGTTTGTAACGCTATCCTTACTTTACCTTAAAATGTCTGAGACTTCCTTAGAATTAAGGGTGATAAAAAATATTTACTATTTATTTCCAACTTCTACATCTCCTGGATGTAGGTGAGGCGTCAATTTTGTCATGAGGCACTCTGTATGTGTGTGTGTGGGTGTGTGTCTATGTGTCTATATATATAGGGTGTAAATAAATATATGTCACATCACTCTGTGGTAGATACATAGGTTCAATCTGAGCATATTTTCTTAATACACCCATGTCCAGAAACACTTCCTTTTGTCACAAAGGGTCTCAGTAGTTTCTGAGAGGACTCATAAGTTTTAGGTGATATTATCGTTGTTTTACATTATAACAGTGCTCAAAATTGCGGCCACCAACTTTATTGCATGTTCTGCACCACCTGGCTATGTTATGCTGAACTCTTTGAAAGATTCCTGACATTTCCCGGATGGTTCCAGCTGCTACTGCAGTTCTTGCAACAAGATCATGTTGTGTCTCCAATGGAGTCTTGTACACCAGGCTTTGCATGTACCCCCAGAGAAAGAAATCCAGTGGAGTCAAGTCAGAGGAGCAAGGGGGCCAGGTTATTGGGCCTCCACATCCAATCCATCTTTTGCCAGAGGTTTCATCCAAATGCTCACGGACAACATTAGTGCAGTGTGCTGGGGCACCATCATGCTGGAATCACATTTCATGACAGACTTCCAAAGGCACCACTTCCAGCAGCTCGGGTAAGGTCTCTTGGAGAGATGTTAGGTAAATATCACCCGTGAGCCACAGAGGTAAGAGGTAAAGGTGTCCTCCTTCATATTTCAGAGGCCCTAGCATGTAAATAAAGCGTTTCTGGACATGGGTATATTAAGAAAATATGATCACATTTAACCCATCTATCTACCACAGAGCATTGTAACATATATTTATTTGTGCTCTGTATATATAAGAGATGATCAGAAAGTAACTGGAACATCAGACAGTTTGTTTTTATAAATAGTTTTACTTCCCTTCTAATACCCTCCTGATGATTCAGTACCTGCATCCTATAGATATGCATATTGAAGCTGCAACATCACCCATAGCCTTTGAAAGTGGAAATAATTTCTCCAAAGTCATTTCATTATAAACACTGTCATCAGTAAAATTTTCAGCATTTGACATCTTCTGCAGACAATTTGTAACACAGGAAAGCATACAAATTCAATCACGCTAAAAGTCGGTAAACAAAAATGTTCTCAAGAACTTTCAAATTTGCATATGACTTCTCTTACTAAATGAAGCTGTACTGACTTTGTTAGTTGAGCAAGAAATAAAACATCAATGAAGTAGCTGGTAGCTAGTTGCTTGGCTGAGATTCAAACCAAGTAGGTCCTGAATACAACCTGCTTGTTCATGACTGATGACTGTACAATGTCACTCTCACGTGCCCTGTCACGGTCTCAGTTCTTCATCTTAGATTACTTGTTCTCTTTGCAGTTATTGCACACATTGCAATCAAAAGATTATGGAAATCAAATTCGCCATAATATAAGTGACAATAGAACTTACACAAATCCTGGATATTACGGTGCAGTAAATTTCAGTGTGGATGACCATGGGACAGCTCATATTTCTATCATAGCCCCTAATGGAGATGCTGCTTCCATCACTAGTACTGTAAATCTTCAGTAAGTAAATACACTAAATACTGGCATTGAATTTATTGAAATTAGTTTCTGTTTTCCCCTTTAACTATCTGATGTCCATTTATTTTAATATATACGAGTAATACCCCATGAGGTTTGGTTTATCTTGTGTGAATTTTAAAGTTGTTGAACTTGCCTGACTGGACTGGAACAAGGCTTCAAAATGTTGGACTGAGTCTAACATAGAACCTAGAAGGTCTGATTTATTTAAACCTTCCTTATTAGATTCTCTTCAGTCTGAAACTTAATTGTTATAAATAGGTTTTACAATTATTTTTTGGGATGCAGAGTCCTGTATGTATCATATTGTTGCAATCAGTTATCTTTTATATGTCATTTTCTTATTATGTACACTAACACTCTAAGTCAGTCTTCTCTCCTACAGTCTAGAGATTTCTCTTGTACCAGTTCTGACTTCATAGCCATTGTTTGGTCTTCCTGTAGCTGTATATCCTGTAGTTTTTTTCTGAAGAGTATATGTTTGGAATGTGTTATTGTCCATTCCCCTACATTCCTACATCTTCAGTAGCCATCATAAGACTGGAGATGGAGCAAGATGGGGAGGCATTCACTCTCTTTTCCTATTCACTTCCCTTCCATCTGTGATCACTACTGTGATCATACAATGGAGGGCAATAACACAAATAAGAACAATAGACACAACTATAATAAGACACAGTGTGTTCATTGTAATGTTTATGGTTGTTTGGAATGGTTATTGCCTCATTGATCGTCTTGACAGGTATAATCTTGATGTCAGTTTGTCTTTATCCACTGCTATTTCACTGTAATGCCACTATGCTGACTTTTCTTGCATATTGCATTGAACTACCTTGCAATTCATTATATACACTGTTTTACAGCTGCTATGATACATGTTTACACCAGTCATCCCCATTCAACAAAGACTCATATTAGACTATGACTAAGAGAGCCTGTTTCCTAGCCATGCAACCACAGTTGTATACACATGACGACTTCAATGGAGTTTGGGCGCTAGAGCAAGTGAGGCCAATCAGCACGTTTCTAGAAAGGTCCAGAAGAGAATTGGGAGGGGGAGTCTCAATGTTTGAAAGGGAGGCAAGCACTGGCTAGGCCCCAATTTGTATTCTCTCTCCCTTCTCAAGGCTGCTTGTCTCGAATAGCCTGTAGATGTGGCACCAGTCTGTCCAAGTGCATCACCATCATCTTTGCTCTAGGATGACGCTGGATCTTGTAGACCACATTGTTGGTCCTGGTGATCACCCTGTAAGGCTCCTTTGGGGGAGGTGCAGTATCCTGTGGTCCTGGTTGGGCAGTACAACCAGTTCTGACCGCCTTTCTAGAATCCAATGTAGTTAAGTGGTTGTCGGGGCGACTGCTCTCTGATCTTAATTACACAGCTACAAGGGCTTTAACCTAACTCAGTGGTATAATCCATGGTAGAGAAACACCCTTTCTTGGATTTACCTCAGACCTATTTTATCTTTGAACCTGCCTAGAATGTGTTAAGAACCCAAAGTTGGTCCTGGATTTTGTTTGGCCAAATAAACTTCTAAATTTAGAGCCCATTAGGACTCCTAGCTTGAAATTCATACTACAATAATGAAGAATGACTGCAGAAATTGTTTGGCTATGGTCACATAATTTTCTAAAAAGTTAGCCTTTGAGCACTTCTTGCCTTACACACTGATCATGAAATATGGGACTGAACACTCAGCTAACAAGTTTGTTTCAGTTTGTGCCAACACTCAGAACACAAATTGTTTCAGCCTCGGAGCGGGAGTAACATCACACACAACCGGAATAATACTTAACAGTGGTATGAATGACTTCTCGATCGAAAAAGCAAAGAGCTATTTTGGAATACCTTTTTCACCAGCAAATGCCATCACACCTGGGAAGCGTGCTGTCTCATCGATGTGCCCATCTATCATCGTGAATGGAGAAGGAGATGTGCGATTAGTTATTGGTGCTTCAGGAGGAACAAAGATAACAACAGCTGTAGCTTATGTAAGAATATCAGACTTGTTTACATGACTGAAAACACACAAAGTGAAAGCATAATTCTGTAGGTTTATTTATTTCTCATTATGTCATAACACATGAATTTATTATCACTCTCTTATAGAACATAAAGGTGCATCACTGTCATCACAAAAACTCACCACTGGGTTCTGTCCTCAGCCTCTTCATTCCATTTCACAGATCTGCAATCTGTTTATCTTAGGCTATCTGTAATGCTTCCCTCCTATCTGTGCCATTTATATTATAGTATATATCACCTTTCTACTTGATGCTCTTTTAACTCCCCTAACAGTGTCAGGTTAAGAGTACAATTTGTGAAGCACCTCAGTCTAAAATGTTCTCATTAATCTTTCTTAGGTCCAGATATGTTCCTTAGCACTTTGTTCTCACGCACTCTTATCTGTTCCATCCTTATGACTTATGAAACCATCAAGAAGACAACATTTTTCTTTCCTGAAATATTTAAGAAAACCAGTAAATGATAATCAAATTACATTTAATTATTCATGAGAATGAAGATAATTTATTTTTTCAGGTAATAATGAGAATTCTTTGGTTTGGTGAAGGCATTAAACAAGCAGTGGATGCTAGCAGAATATACCATCAGATATTCCCCATGGAAGTATCATATGACTATGGAGTTCTAGATGTGAGTATTTCATCAGTGTAAGGAAGGTTCTGTGAATGCCTGCCCATGTGTGATTACTATATTCGAGCCAATCATACAAAGTCCTCTTAAGATTCACACATCCTTCTTCACAAGTACATGCATTATTGAGTAATATGGTAAACATTTCCAAAAGTAGACTTGAAATACTGTCTGTGCGATTAATTCATTAGCAAGCCAGGAAGAGAAATCTCATTGAGTTAAGGTTTTTACATAAATCTTATTGTAATTACTAATTCATTACTAATGAATAATGTGGTATAATTTATTTTATGTGTGTCTAATATGCAGAAAAGTGCTTGAATTTTTTAAGGAGCTGTTATTCCAAATATACAGAGTGTTGTAAATCCTATATTGTTAGAATAAATTTTGCAGCATAAGGAACGAATGTAAGATATTCATCAGTTTTTTCCTTGTTCTCAAGCAGAAGAATAGTATTTGCTATGAAAAATTGTACCTGAGTGTAATGAGAATTACCATAAAATTAAAATACAGTATTATAATGTTTATACAGTTCACCAATGCAATGTCCTGCTGCATGCCAGGAATTGGTTCTGAGGCGTATATGCTTTTGTCTTACACTTAATGCATTATTCCCTCATCAGATGGTGTAAATGTTTAGTTCTACAAAAATACTCAAAATAATTGTTACTGCACAATGTAATTAGCTTTAAAAATTTGTTTATGTATGCAGTGACAGTCATGTATTAACAATAAATGAATGGCAGGGCGATTGATATATGAAAAATTGCAAGGAATTCATTTGGAAAGTATATGTATGCCAGATTTGAGTATGCCTTTTCACATTTATATTTTTCTGGCAAGTGAGTGACTCCATAACTGAAAAATTGCTGGCTTGCTGGTTTTGATACAGAATTTATTTTAAACAAAAAAGTGTACTGATTTGTATCTATTATGCTTATATTATATTTATTTTTATTTATATGGGCAAGTATAAATTTTGCATGACTCTCTAAATTTCAACAGTTTGAAGAAGCGTGATTAACATACTCTTCAATTCTTATATTGAGCAGTTTAAATTATTGCTTTGTTTGCTGTCCCAAGCACCTAGTTTTCTTAAATTTCTTTGAAGCAGACAATGATTAATGCTTTCCTTATAGCAAATAATAAAGGGGTTGGAGAAGCTTGGACATAAAACAGATCGAATCCGAGACAGAGGGTCAATTATTTGTGCATTGTCCAAGCTGGGAAACATGATCACTGCCAATGCTGACTTCAGGAAAGGAGGAGATGTGTTTGGTATTGACTGAATTATACCAGAAATATAAAAGCTACAATCTGAATCAAAAAGGTAACATGACTCTTGATGTTTGGTGTATTTGAATTTATTGAGTAGCCTAAAGGTGGTCATACACACTACAGCTCACTGAAAAGCATGCCTTCCAAGAGTGAAGCCGGAAGGCAATCCTCAACCCTCTGAGAGCCCATACACATACCGACTCTTGTCACAGTTTTATGTCCACTCTTTTGTTCAGTTGATGATTGCAGAGAGACTGCACTGTATTAAGAGATGATGTGATTTTAACCTGACTTACCATTACTATAATGCTGAAAGAAACAGTACATCATTCTAAGTAGACCGAAAGTTGACTAGATACATTATAACATTTTCACCTAAATATGTTGAACGAAATGCAGTTAGAGGTGACATATTTGCACACCTATATGTAAATGGATGAGGATAAATGCTTCGTGCTGTTACACTTCATTTCTTCAGTTAAGGGAAGGAAGGTACCGTAACGATAATGGCAAAAACTCCATGTGAATGGTTGTGTGCTATCCTGAATAACAGGCAGGAACTCAGGATTTAAAGTTCTCAGTGGCTGTTTCAGCATGAGCAATGGGAAGACTTATTCCAGAAATGTGTACAGCCATTTACAAAGTTCTTTGAAATACTGGAAGGCAAGTCATAAACATTTGTTCAGATATCTGTAAGGATATTAGAATAGAACATTTGCTTGACTATTACATTTGGGCGCTAGAGATTATTTATTTGTTTGATCTGAAACATTGAAAGTAAGTTCTTGTTGAGGTTGTCCAGGGTTGTTGCTAAGATGAAGTACCTGGTGGTTGTGGGTGTGGCATTATGTGTTTCAAATATTCCTGTTCTAGCTTGGGCACTGTTAGTGACTTTTATTCACATATCCACAAAATGGTGTTCTTTGCTTTTTTGGCAATAAATAACTGTCATAGGAAGAAAATACCAAGTTCTTCAACAGTATGCAGGCTATACTTCCAAGGTTGCTGCCCAACTCAGCAGTATTTCTGCTACCAAGTTTAGTCACATGTCCTCTTTATTTTATGTGCTGTATCTTCCTTTTTCTGCATTGCTAGATCATGCACTACCATTTAGTGACAAGGATGTATTTGGCACACTTGAAGCAATGAATGATTGATTTTGAGCATATAATGACTGTGGGAATGGTATCAGTGATTCTGTTGCATAATTGCTTTCGGCTTCTTCATGAAAGAAAAGTATACATGGCAAATAAACTCCATTTTGCAAAACGAAACGAAGAAATACAGCTCTTAATACACTTCCATTCTACAGTTTCTTGATTCAGGGGATGAACTGGATAACAGTTTCAGAGAAAACTGCAGTTTCCAGTCTGTCTCATCACAGTTGATGGGGACATATGAATTGTCCCCCCACCAGGAAGCATGTTACATATGTAGGATTTCACAGCATAATTCTGATGGAAATTAGCTAGTAGTAGTTACGAGTTTATCTTATTTAATATTGCAGCTAACAGAAAAATTTTTACCTGTGGTGGTAACAACATTACATCATTTCAGAAAGTGGTGTTGAAAGGTAGTAAAGTGAAGTTACCACCCACTAATGACAGAAATCAATTTCCTTACATCTCCATTGTAGCATTTTCCCTTTGGAAAGAATTTTTGAAACTCCGCAGTTTTATGGTGAAAAGGAGATTGAATCATGACCACATGCATTTAAATTAAATAAGCACTTTGGCAGTGTTAGAACATATGTTAGCATAGTAGGTTGAGGCACTATACTACATACAAGCTGGAAGTTTGTCGGTTCAGTTTCTGATGAGGTAATTTGATTTTTCAATTGACCTAATCCTTCCAGCTGCACTATGGCCCTGGGGTTCACTCAGCCTCTAACAGAAATGAGTACCAGGAGTCTTCATGGGAGTAAGTACAGAGCAGCCGGTGCATAAGACTGACAATCTCTCCCCCCATCTGTGAGCTGATTGTCTCAAAATGTGGGAGTCTTGACGTCTGACAACACCCTGTTACAGGGATAGGTTTTATCTTTTTTAACTTGGGCAGTGTTAAGTGAATTACACAAAATGTATTTGGAATCTTGGTTAGTCAGTTTCATGTCTTTCACACAGCAATTGCGACCTCAGTAGATAACATTGAATCCCTCGAGAAGGGTGTTTTTGCCTTGCATAACTTTTTGTGCAAGAAATGTCCAATACAAACAGCAACCACTTACTCAGTAACAATGTTTGTGATGAACCAAATTCAGGTACTGATATATTGGGTTTTTGGACTTTATCCATCGTCCTGGTTTTTAAGATAACTAATTAAAACACCACGTTTCGGAAACTGGATCTGTTTCCGTCCTCAGGTGAAGGAAAAACCTATTCTGTTGGGTCCGTTAGAAAGAGCTAGCCTCAATCACAATATATCAGTGTGTTATACACCATCGTCAGAATCCTATAGTAACTACAAATTCAGGTACTTCAGAACTGTTCACATCACTACAGAAAACATGACAGAACAACAGTGAAGAATGAAAATGAATGTGCAAATTATTTTTGGGCTGCTTTTAAAACAATTTTGCAGAGAGGGGAAATATTTCCAGTGAAATATTGTTGGGGGGGTTTTCATTTTATTTATTGTCTGTAACAAGCTGTTTAAAAATATGCACATATTTACCATTAGTATGGTCAATGTGTGCTATTTTCTTGCTCCATTTAACTCTCGTCAGTGTGCATGTTAGATGTGCTTCTTGTAGGAATTCCCAGATTATATAGAAAATCCAGCATGTGGAAATGCCATTGAGATGGCTCAAGTACGTCTCCACTAGTGCCACCCTTTTTTCAGTTCGCCACTTCAGCTGTGGAGGTTGTTGATTTTATTCACTCTGCTATCCTTGCAACTGGTATGATCCACTTCTTTCATTTGATCGACCACCTTTGAGTATGCAGAGTTTCTCAAATGTCTGTTGGAATACTGCTTGCATTTTACATCATACAAACATGGCAAAGACATGTACAGCTCATTGAATATAATGTGCAAAGGGATTCATGAGGCCAGGATTGCATGGCAGCCATCATGCCTGAGAACATAACGAAGAAGGAAGGAAAACTGATGAAACAAACAGGCTTGTGTTGTGCTCACTGACTCAGATAATGAAGGACTGTAAGCCTGCTATCTACTCTCATTATCTGTGACCATATATGGTACAATTCTAACATGCAGTTAAAGATTGAAGTAACTGTAGATTTATTAGAACTCGACTTTTAGCCAGTTCTTCAGGACACATTTTCACACATGCTCTTCCCAGATATAAGCCTTCTGGTAACTTGTGACATGTGTGGCCACCCTAAAAAGTGTTTATAGTGTTGCTGTCAAATTTTTATTAGTTCAGAAAACAGACATATTCACAAGTAACTGTACAGAAAATTTGATAGGAACTTAGCAAGTCAAAACATTCACTTCTTGTAAGGAATCCAAAGGCTTATTTTATTACCATGTTCACAACAACTCTCACAGATTGTACCCAGTGCTCAGCCATATTGGTTGATTGATTGTTTCATTTATTTCCCACCTTCACACACTATTTCTGAAATGTTAATCTTGATATTATCTTCATGTAAAATTCTCTCACACAGTCTCTTTCCCTGAGGTTTTCCAAGCCAAATGATATTTACATATTTTATTTCCACCATATGTGTTAACATTTCACCACATCTCATCCTGTCAGTTTTAGGTGAAGTGTACAAATTATAAGACTTGACCTGTTGTTTTGCCTTTTAAATTCACTGTATTCTGATGCTTGCACACAAGTTAATTTAAATGTGTGTATATGAGCATGGAAGGGGAAATTTAGTTTTACTGAGTTCGTTTTATGATAAACATGGCAAGGAGTATATAGAGTTTCAGACTTTTAACAGTGTTTTATTGTTTGTTTGCTTCTTCTGTCCCACTGTTTGATTAAAAGTCCACTACTGTCAGGATGAAAATACTGCATTAATTCCATTTTATTTTCCCATAAATCTGTAATTTTCAGGTTATATTTTTCTTTTGTTATCCCATGCCTGTGCTTTTATTTTGTCATTGTCTTTATCCACCATATTGGAAAGAAACCGCTTTAAAGATGGAGAGTTGAGCAGTGAAGAAAAGTGTTAGGTGAAACTTATGTAGTGAGAACAACTTTTGATAGGAAAAATCTCATCACCTGCTGGAAGCAGACACACAGATGGAAGGGTAATAACAGAGTGTATCTCAAGGAATGTGAAGGTATGGGTTGGATTCATCTGTTTTAGGGCAGGATCCAACTCCTGACCTCTGAGTACATTGATTAATCTTTGTGTTTTACATGTTCACAAAATTTTTTAAATGATTTAAAAACTATCACTTATACATGGAGGACTGCATCATAGTGTGCTTCAGTTAATTATTGAAGTCATTATATTATGGCCATGTTACTGATTTTCTTTGTGAATGTTTGTAAAATTTCAGATAAACTTATAAATGGGGTAACTTATTGTGACAATGGAGTGAGTTGAAACCAAATCTTGGAAAAGAATTGTGATAATCTTCTGGCAACTCCAGTGTGCTGCACAACATTTTGACTACCTCTGGAACTGAAGCAATGCCCTTTCTCACTGTTGTTTTCAGAAAGGTATAGTTAATCATAGGGCGACTGTTAAGCAAGAATCTGTATGACCAATGGCAGGCAAGCTGTATATTATCCCCAGAATGTGAAGAAAAGTCATTAAGTAACTGTAATAGAAGGACTATTAACTTTTCTATTATCACATACAATTCACATGGTTCTAAACTGTAAGTAACTTTATCAGAATTTTTTCTTATGTTTTATTCATATCTGTCTTAACCTTTTAAATACTAAATGTAAGATATCTCACCTAAAATTGTTACTCTTTTCAGCTTTCAACTTGATTGTTATCTCATCATGTTTGTTGAAGCAGAAATGGTATTCTTCCTTCATCTGTCTGACTTTTCATTGGCAAAATTTGTGTATTTTCAACAATACAGGTTATTTGTAAGAGAGGACATGTAAAACAGACAAATAAATTATTTATATTTTCAGAGTTTGTGTATGTTTGTGAAATTCTTACCTGTCCTTATCTGCACTGATTAGAGTTGTGGCAGGATAGCTTCATCCACCATTGCAGATGTGTGGGTACTATTTACAGTGCAAATTGGTCTAGAATATCTGATCCATTTTATAGGAATTGAATTTTTAAACTACCACTGACAATTAAATATTTACTCTTCTAAGAAATTCATGATGATGATGATGATTAAAAATACTATGGAAGATACAGTAATAAGACTGATAAAATGAAACAAGTAATATTTAAATCATCAGATGGACATAGATTATTGATTAACAAGTGATCACAAAACCAGAATAGACGTATCATGAATATTATTAAGATCTTGGAATATGACAGATGATAATGACGATGAGGATGATGATAATGTAAATGTCATTAAAGTACAAAAGAGATGTGCTGTACTGTACAAGACAATTTAAGTAATGGAAAAAATATTCTGATACTTCTTGTAGCAGATCTCAGATATTTCCATTGATTCTTCTGGGGAAATTACATTAAATTTATGCAATTTCACCATCTGTGACTTCTTGTAGCAGATCTCAGATATTTCCATTGATTTTTCTGGGGAAATTACATTACATTTATACAATTTCACCCTCTGCGACTTCTTTTTGGAACAAAACTATTGCACAAGTTGAGGAGTACCTCTGTGCGCATGCTTGCATATTTGCATGATATTTCTAACCTATTTCACTCTTGGTTCAGTGTACATTAATTTGTTTTAAGGCATGTAATGTGTTGAATTTTCCATTCATATTGGAAAACAGTAGTGTAAATACTATTTGAACTGCAGAAATGTAACATGAATTATGTATTTAATCATATTTATACAAAAATAATTTACTGTCCACTCAGTCTTTAACTTTGATCTCTGCCTGAAATATTATGAGGGCTATTTGGAAAGTAACCTTCAGCAAGCGGTTACCAAACAAGCAATGATAAAACAATATTATGTACATAAAATACTTACATACTTAGCTACTTCTCTATCTAGTCACCACCAGAATTGAGGCACTTGTATTGGGGAATAAGTTTTTGTATGCCTATGTTATAGAAGACTGCTGTCCATGAGCTCAGCCACGTTTTGACACCTTCCATTAACACCTCATTATTGTTGAAGTTCTGTGATCTCAACCAGTTCTTCAGGTAGGTAAACAGGGTGTAGTCTTTCAGAGGGAGATCAGGGCTGAAAGGAGGGTGGTGTAACAACTTCCAGTTGAAATGCTCCAGCAGTGCTCAAGTGTGAGCAGCCATATGCGGATGCACCTGTCATGGAGGAACACTGTTTTGGCAGCAATAGCACTGTTGACTAGTCATGAGTTGGGGTAGGCTGAGTGAGTTGGTTGAAGCAGTAGAACTTCTGATATATTCTGGAGATGACCGGCTCAAATATTGGCCAGCACACCAACTATCCTGATTTATGTTTTTCATAGTTTCATTCAGCCCCTCCATGCAATTGCCTTGAAATACTGTCACATGTTAGTGATTAGATGGGATTTGGATTGATAATTAGATTTACTGGACACTTATAACTTGTAATTACAAGTAACTGCAACAGTCTCAATAATTTACACACTCTAAATCACCACAACTGCAGCACAATAAATTCTTCTGCTTGTTTACTACCATTGATAGTTAGCGGAAGCTAACACTGCAACTCAAAATTGCTCATCACCAACTCTGACCTCCGACTCACAACTGACTAACTTTGGTCAAATTGCTGCTGGCCCTTGCTAGCACAGAAAATCTTGGGTTTGGGTTCCATCAGAACTTATGGCCATATTGTTGTATCTTCTAAGACTTCCAAGTGTTTTGAAATTTGGCCTCCTTTTCAATGAGAGGAGGGGTCTGACTACTACTGGTCACTCACCTTGTACTGGGGGTGACACCACTTGCTCAACTCTCACTCACTCCATTCACTCACTGACTAATTATATGATTAATTGGCTGCTAACTGTTATTGGCCCTCCCAAGTGCAGTGATTCTTTATTCTGAGGTCCATGGAACTCATTGACTCATTACCATATTTTGATGTCTGTTGGCTCTGGGAGCCTTGAGACACTCCTGCAACCTGGAGAACCAGGTTCCTCTATGTATTATCACTAATTTGACAGTTAAATCACCGCTGACCTCGTCATTACAGTGATTCTTGGTTCCAAGTCCCACATGACAACCATAATTGTATATTATTGTCTGACGGCTCTGGGAGCCTGTCAGTCAGAGTTACTTATGACTGGCGGTTCACCATCAATCAGTTTGTCTTGGCCTCTAGCCCCTTGAGGATCATCACATTTTTTTTTGCATCCGAACCCTTACAGTCATAGTCCTTATGTAACTCCATCTCTGACTAGAGGACAGGTTTATCCCTTATGTATAAGTTTGGCTGATTTCCTGACTACTAAATTGCAGCTGGCTCTTGCCAGCATAGAGATTTTTGGCTTCGAGTCCCACGGACTAATGGTCATATGTTACTGTCTGACGGCTCTGGAAGCCTGTATCTAGATTCCCCTATTATTGCGTGTTGATTCATTGCTTCGGAAACGTGTATACCGCGCCGCGACTGATTCGTTCCACATCCATTCCAATTCTTTATTCACTATCTTCACTATCATCCATCATTTGTTGGTCTGTAGACAAAGTTAGAGATAGGGTGGTTAAATGAACACCACAAATGAGCGGGGGGTATGTCGGGCCCATTGTACATTTGAATTAAAGGTTCGCAGTGAGTTCGAGTGCTTCAAATAGTGTGTACTATTTGTTCTAGAAAGGGACTTTATATTTCAAACTGTGGTAGCTCTGACACATTATCATTCCCGTATGTGAGCATGGCTTGTTGAGGTTATGTGTCGTAATATCATGGAGACGTGCTGTTAGTTGTGTGTATGTGTCGTAATATCATGGAAGAATGCTGTTTGCGTGTTGTTTACCGTCTGAGGAGTATTTGCGAGTAATTGGGTGAACTGCTCAACAAAATGTTTTAATCGGCAGCCACCCCGTAACATATGAACACGAAAGAGTCTAGAGCATGTATTAATATATTCTCATAACCTATTGATGGTGTTCACTATTTGAGACACAACATGTTGTCCAATATTTTAACAAGAAAGCAACCAAGTACTTTGGTGTGTATTCAAGGTATGACACTCTGTTTGATGTTTGCTGAGCGATCTCTTTGTCGCTATTGGCTCATTTGTGTTTAATTCTGTGATGTCGGAAAATATGACGCTTGTTAACCTAAAACGACGAACGAAATTATTTTTCAGGGAGCAATTTTGTTTAACATTTCAGGGTAGAAATATGCCACATCAAAGTTTGAGTCTTGACATCACTGTCATCCTTCCAATTCCGAATTGCAAACTGTTCACCATTCGCTCATTAGAGGTACTGAACTGGTTGATATAGTGGTAGAACCCGAAACGTTGAGTTCTTTTATTGAATGATGGCTGTCAATAATCCAAGAGTATATAGCGTCTACTGATAGGGTGCTAGTGAATAATATTGAAAAGGAAGTGTTCGTGGCCTATGGTAGTGAACAATGAATGGAAGTGGTTGTGGCCAAATTTAAAGTGCTGTCACAAAATTTGCATTGAAGGACCAAGGAAAACCGTGAAGAGTTTCACTAGGGATCCCAGGCAAGATGCGCATTGAGCACCTTCCCTACACATGTCAGAAGGATGTGCTGCCTAAACTACTTGCTCCAATACTTGTCTTTGTGAGGTACCAGGTTGGAATCAGCTAGACTACTGGCCATTTGGTGTTGTTTTTTTTCACATCTTTTCTCATTTTATCCAGGCAAATGGCAAATAATACTTTTTGATATACAGCTGTTTTGTTTTCTCAAGCCATTTATATTATTCATGATATTCCCACCTCATATGACACTGGAGGTACTCCATGCCAAATCAAATCTTCCAAAAGTGCAGAAGTAGATTTTTTTTATTTTAATGGAACTTGGTATAATCATATGTTGGGATGACATTAGGTAGCTTCTTGTATGCGTGCCATATGAATAACATTTCATAGAAATACTCATGTTACTTTTGGAGATAAAGCATTTTTCTGAGTACTACTACTGAGTGAAGAACAGCCTGTATCCCAGAAACTTTAGCATTTAAATGTTAAAAATGACTGGGTTTTGGTTGTGTATTTTGCAATTTTATGTAGGTCATAGCAGCCTGTAAATAGGCCAGGTTTCATTACAATTAAAAATTCACCTCCCACCATGCATTTGTTGATTTGGCATGGATTGTCTCAGTTTTAATAGTGTTATGAAATTGTCTAATAACAAATTACGTTCTTAATTGATTCTAGTCAGCCTGTGCATTTTAGTCAGTGCTCTTAGCCTAAATATCAAATAGTACATTGCAGGTTTCTACTTCAATTTTAAGCATGGGAAGTGCAATGAAAGTTATCTGTGCCAAAGTTATTTCTTTTTATTACAGATTCTCTTGAGCAGAGTGGTTTACACTTATTGAGAGCATTTGCACAACATGCTGTTGATAGAAAGGAGAGTCATGTACACATTCTTTGCTATGAGCATCCTACAATAAAGATGAAAACTGGGTTGAGGAACAGTAGTGAAGATCACGTGCACTTTCATGATTGTTTTACAGATCATCGTGGCTGGATTGATAGTAAGTTCAGTGAAATGTTTTTTTTTGTTGGCCACCTTAGGTTCCACTCAGATGTGACAAGCTTGAGCAGGTGGTCAACTTAAAGAGTGTTAAAATTTCGAATTTTTTGTGTCTATAATGATTACCCACCCAACTGTTTTTAGTATCAAATTAATGGATCTGAAGTGATTGTGAAGGAACAGTATGGTAAATTGAATCACAAGAAATTGTGCCATTAATGAATTTTTAACCATTAATGGTGAAGAAAGAGGTCAAAGGATGTTAAGCAGGTACCTACAACTGCGAGTATTTATATGTTTGCACAGTATTTCATACATGTCAATCATGTTTGTTCTCTCTAGGCCAAGAGAAGGAAAACATTAGATCTGATGTTCATACAAAGGGTAATAGCATTCTATCTGTCTTGCAAACTTCTCCAGTCACAAGTACAAATGATTGTATCATAATTATTGACTCTTTGACACCCCTCATCTACAATATTGGCTTCACGAGATGCTACCGTGAACTTCATTCTCTTCTTGTCAAATCTACAAATGGTGAGCAAAATATTGTGGCTGTTTTATTTTACTTAACAGATTATCATAAAACATCTTGAAAAAGGATTATAATGAATGAGTTGTAAATAACATGTTGAATCTGGAGATCAGGATACAGTATTTATGTTCAAATCTTGTGAGACATAAGAAGACATGGTCAGTAGGACTGTCTTGATATGCAACAGGCCCATGAGCAGTACCATGAAGGTGATGACTATAGATTATAATTTTGTTTGGCAAAGATCCTTATTCCAGACTTTACTGTTTGTGGGTCTTATGTGTTTGTAGGATTAACTGTATCACAGGTCATATGCTTGATACATGAAGATACTCTGCCTGATGTGCATGTAGCATTGCCCCAACTTTGCCATCTAGCAACTACTACTGTCAAAATTGGATCACATACACAGTCTTCAAGAGGAAACCCCACTGCCAGTATAATACATAAAAAACAAGGTGGAAAAATATTAAGGCAGGTTAGTGAGACAGCACAAAAATAAAGATGTTATTTTTATGTCTCATTTATGAACAAATAAATTTGGTAAATGTCTGCTGCTCTTTAGTTTTGTATTCTTTATATTCCAGTGATCTGTCTAAAACATGAAGATAAAAAGAAATGTTGTCCTTGTGCCTGATTAATTAAGCTCTATGCCATGAAGACATATGGGGGATTGGCAGTATAACTCCACCTTTCTCAGCCTTGGTACCAGATGGAGGTGTGTGGTCAGCTACATGCCCCAGCCGCTTTACCCTGATGCTGTGGAGAATAAAGAAATGCTGACTAGCAGATAATTCAGATTGGGGCCATTCGGCCTGTGGCCTGTTGCTATACCAATTGAGCTATCATAACTCCTCTATCTTTCTTATGGAGCTGAGCCCTTCTTGAGGATTCCTCTATCTAAAAACCTAAAAATTAAAATACAGTGAAGTGTTGTTTTAGTGAATGCCAGAGTACTGAAGCATTCAGTAAAATCACATTTTTTTCTGGACCCCACCAATTTAATATGTATTCTCATGTTAAAATATTTCAGGTCAAAAAGTACCTTATTTACTTACTCATGGAGCTGAGCCCTTCTGGAGGAGCTGCCAATTGTGCAGCTGCTAAAGAATTCCCCAGCATTTTATGGAACCAGCAGGTTCATTACTGTGTTCACAAAAGCCCTCCACTGGTCCCTATCCTGAGCCAGAACTATCCAATCCATACCATCCCATCCTATCTCTAAGATCCATTCTAATATTGTCCACCCACCTACGCCTTGGTCTTCCCTGTGGTCTCTTTCCTTCTGGCTTTCCCACCAATATCCTATATGCATTCCTCGTCTCCCCCATTCGTGCTACATGACCTGTAGAATTGTTACATGTACCTAACTATTATTCTGTCATTTTTAATACGTTTCCATGTAATTAAATTTCATTGTAATTTTGTCACCCAAATGATTTTGTTTTAGTGACATTTCACAGTGTACACAAAACATTACCTGTTGTTCTGTGTGGGTATGAAATTGAATATTTTAAGTCTGTACAGTTTGAGAACAAAATCTGAAGGAATATGCCTAGATCCATGAGAACTGGGTAAAAAAAGGACGAGAAAAATTCGCATGATGAGAAGCTTCATAATTTGTACTCTTCATGCAGTGTTACAGTGATTAAATGAAGTAGAGTGAAGTCCATGGGACATATAGGGTACATGGGAGAAATGAGCAGTGAATACAAAATTTTGGTTGAGAGACCTCAAGAGAAAATACCACATGGAAGATAATGTCAAGATTGATCTTCGATGTGAAGTTGCATATGAAGGTCTATGATGTTGGGTATGGTGCTGTGGTGGGCTTTTGTGAACATGTTGATGAACATTAGGGTTCCATAAAAGCAGAGAAACTTGTGATCCACTAAATAATTATAAACTTTTCAAGACAGACCATATACCATGGAGTTAGTTGCTCAATTCATGACTTCATTGTATTTATTTCTATTGTACTTAATGTATTGACAGAAAACATGATATTAACCTCTTATGTTTGGGGTGTTTCTCTATCATTGGGCAGATACCATGTTATATTAGTAGAAGCTGTTTGTTTCTGTACATGACTGCCTCTGGTCTAGTGGTCAAGAGTTCCTGGCTACAGATCCAGAAGTCCCGGGTTCAATTCCCGGAGCTACCAGATTTTCTGAGAAGTAGTGGGTCATGGAACGGAGTCCACTCAGCCTCCTGAGGATAAATGATGGGCTATTTCAAGGAAATGACGGCTCCGGTCTATAAAACTAAGATTAACAGCCATGGGGATCTGTTTGCAGTCCACGTGACACCCTCTATCTGCAAAAGTTGGCACTGACTTCGCTGACAAGCTGCAGTCGCTAGGTCAGTATAGTTCGCTTGCGGACTACAGACCATGGAGTTTGTTTGTTTTCTTCCCTGTGCTCTTAGAATTAGCACAAAAGGCTAGGATCTGCTGAAACAGCCACATGCTTTCAACCTCATGGTTTTGTGAAGGATTCTTATGTTCCTACAGAATACATTTAGAAATCATTATTTCAGGATACTTACTGTTTGCTGTGGTCATTGGTTATTTAATAAGTGTAATATTTAAACTCTGTATTTTGCTATTATAAATTAAAAAAGTACATCGTCATGACCAGTCTGTTTGCTGAATGATTGTGGCACAAATTAATTATGGGAGTTTATTGCTGAAAAGCACAGTAAATTGTTGTCAGCTTGCGATCATGTAGTGAAAACAGGGAGTAAAATAAAACACAAAAAAGTGCTATTGATAAACTTCTATTACATTTACCGAAATTGTGAATCTGCTTGTGATTTGTTAGCCTATAGGCTTGTCTGTACCACTGGCAGCCTGCCTGGGCTTCCAGAGTGCCACACTCTTCTACCTGGATGGCTTAGCAATTTGCAGGCGATTGTAAGATGATTACATTGTGGATCATATGTTTCTAGTCTATTTTCCTTGTTCTGTAGGCAAAGATGGGCTTGAAGTGTCATCATGTTCATGTCATTATGTTTATTTGTGTCCCATAATATCTTTGAAATCATTCTTCATATGTAGTTTTTTAATTCATCGGTAATACCAACATGGTAGCATCGCAATCTTCTGAAGTGCTAGTGACACTTGCTGCTACTGGCACAGGATTTGGTACTGGTGAAAATTGTATAATTATTATTTCTGTTTTCTGCTACTCAACTTTCAGATTAAAGCATTTGAAGGATAGTAGACATGAAAGTTCTTTCAAGAACTTGTTTGTTTTTATAGGTAGAATATTATTCTATAGATGCAGATAACAGGTTGAAGTCTGAGATCTTGACATTGGTTACTCCAACTGTCGCAGGAGTGAATGAGGATGAGAATCAATTGCCAGAGGACCTGACAACATTCAAGCTGAGTCTTGGGCAGCAGGAAAAAGAAGCCAGAAGCCAGCTTGTGTTGCCATATCTCAGGTAGGTTGTATCAACTTCAGATATTTATAGATGTGTGACCTAACTAACTCTCAGCGGCCTCCGTAGTCTAGGGGTAACGTTCCCACCTCATGACTCAAGGTACGCGGCTTCAAACCCGGCAGATATCGTGTAATTTTTAAGGGTGGAAAAATTCAGGGAACAAGTCCTCTGGGAGGGACTTTAAGCTGTGGGTCCCGTGTCCTAGATTTACGGCATGTAAGAGATCCTCATGTCTCTAGGAGACCTCTGAGAAAAATTAGGCAAGTTTCCTGCCCAAGTAGTTGCCAATGCCTCCGGTAGATGGGGAAGTATTGGGAACCACTGCCAGCTTCGCTGGCTGAACGGGGCTGATAGCGAGCACCAGTACTGGCAGGGTATGGCGACTGGTAGAATATCAAAGGGGGACGTACAATAGACTATTAGTCGCGGTGCATGGGGAAACCCACCCCCTCCAATAACAATAATAATAACCAAATCTCTAACAGTAGAACCCAAATTTGGATCACCACAAACTCCAGATCTCATTACTGGGAGTGATCCTGAGCCATTTCTGTCTGCCTTGGAAGTTATCTTCACTTTTCCTCCTGCCTTTTCCAGGTGAACACTTCAATGTGGAGATTCTGAAGGGGTCTGACAATGATGTATAATGTTCAGGATTACTGGGTTGTTGTACTTTGTCCATCACCCAGTATTCTAAAGAAGACTGAAAAATACAAGAAGAGGTCCTGTAATTGAGCTTAGATCTTTGTAATGTACCCAACAGAATAGGTGTCTCCCACCCCTTCACCTGGCAACAGAAAGAGATCCAGTTGCTGAAATGTGTTCTTTACTGTTCTTTAGAATACTGGAAAATGGACAAAGTTGAAAAACTCAGTAATCCAAACTTTTTTACATGTTTTCACTTCAGAATTTTGTATACGTTCATTGTCTTCCTTCTTCTAGCCCCATGCTCAGGCCATGGTAACTTCCTTCTAAATTTCACTATGCTGACAATACTGATCTATGTGGGAGTAGTTCTTGTTAAATATGTGATTAAGCGTGGGAGTTGGCCGCACCATAGCTCAAGTGGTTAGTCGCTGGCTTCCCACCGCAGTGGCCTGGGTTCGATTCTGGGTCTGGTCAAGTGGGATTTGTGGTGGGCAAAGTGGCGCTGGGGCAGGTTTTCTCCGAGTACTTCGGTTTCCCCTGCCAACCTTCATTCCACCAATTGCTTCACAATCACCCTCACCTATCATCTGGTGCTGGTACAATAGGCCATAAACGACCGCAGTACAAGGGACTTAGTCCCACCCGACTAGCAATAAAAGAAGCGTGGGAGTTGTTTTCCTGTAAGTGTGTGTCTTTGGGTGTCCCTCTGAGGGAAGAACGTGCAATGATGTACTGGAGAACAGACTATTGAGGGTAATGTTAAGAATGATGAAGCAAGGAGAAAATTAGATAATGAGGACTTTCATATTTTTTATCTTCACATGATGTGGTAAGAGTGATTAAAGGAATGATGAGTGGGGTGCACTGTATACATGGGAGAGATGAGAAGTAGAGACTTAGGTGTAGATAGTATGATAATATTAAAATAGTTTTGACTGAAGAAAGGTACAAAAATATGTGCTGATTCAACTGGCACATGACAGTGCACAGTGGCATTCTTTTGTGAAAGTGGTGGAGAACATTCAGTCATGCAAACAGGGTATTTTCATGACTGGCTGAATAATTATAAGTTCTCTAAACAAGACCCAGACCTTGGAGTTGGTTATGGAGGGGTTGGTTGAGTCATACAATTTGAGAGCCTCTGCTGGCAGGAAAGGTCATTAAATTTTATCACTGTCTGTAATCTCATTGTGATATTCATGTGTGCTTTCTGTGTTGCCATGTTGAGCACCAAAATAGGCCATAACTATTCTGCTTTAGTATTGAGATACTGTGTTATATCACATGACTTATTCTTTTGATGTTTGAATTGATCCTAAAAGTTCATTATTTTTTAAGGATAAACAGTGAGAAGGGAGGTAAAGTGTTCTACCAGCCTGATGCCGCAGATGATTGGGATGAAGAAGACCCTGATGATGATTTGGATATATAACAAAGCTGTACACTTGTACTGAAGAATTCATTGGATGTATATAGTGAATAGAACCTTCAGATTTTCGTAATGACTTGTTTGTTAATGTGAATCCTGTTTATGGGTAGTGGCATTGTGTCGATGTAAGATGTACTGCTGCTATTTTGAAGGTTCTTATTGTCTGTGTCTTCAAGGCAAAGCTACCTATCCAGTAGCTCCTACTAATACTTATAATGACACAGGTCAGTGGGACCAACCCCATCCACACTAAGCCGTTTCCCAGAAACAGGATCAACCTTAGTATGTGGTAACATTAATCAGATCACATATTTTTGTGAAAGAGTCTATGTACTGAAAATAACACTCTGTGCTTTCAGCAACAAAGAAGTCTAAATAAATTGCCATATATGTTTCAGTAATAGTTTGGAGTTTTATTTACAACTGCTGTACAAATACCCAGCTTCTATGTGACACGTTCACTAATATTTGAGACCGGCCACGATTTGTAACTTATGTGCTTCAACACAGCTTCCGTGTTCAATTTATATGCTAGTACCTGGCTTCTGTTTGATGTGTGGAATAGCACTTGAGACCAGACAGCTAATGTAATTTATGTGTGAATACTAAGGCTTTGTAGAGCCACTGTTTAAATTTATGTCCATTACACACCTACTGTTTACAGTTTATGTGGTGGTACTTAGTCGATGCTGGAGACTTTACTACTGTATACAGTTTCTATGCTAAATTACAGCAACTCTTTCAAACTCGACCAGTATTATGGTTTCTATGCTGGATCATTGTTACTATTTGAGACCTGACCACTACATATAATGTCTGTCCTAGATCACAGTTTCCAGTTTCTTCTGTTTTGTCTGTTGTATGTATGGATGTGTTTGTTTTCTCGTATTTACTTTATAATTGTCTTTTATGCTCTTCAGTAAACACATAAATAAGTACATGATTGAATTGAACTGAATTATTGCCACTGTTTGCTTTGAATTTTGAATAGCTGACCGGATAATCGCAACACATGAAACTAATAATTTTAATAAACATTTTTATAGTGTTAATGAGGAGCTCTGTATCCTATACTTATCACGTAATATTGTTTGCAATTAATGAAGAAAGAAGGAATGGATGGTACATGTAAGTGAGATATGCATACACAACTTTAGTTGAAAAATCTCAAATTTTCAAGGGAGTTGCAATTGAGGGATAATGTTAATAATGGATTTTAGATAACCATTGCGAGAAGGGATGGGCTGAAATGATCTGGCTCAAAATAGGGTTCACTGATGGGGCTTTTGTGAGCAAGGTATGGAAATTTCAGGTTCCAAAAAGTAGAGAGTTTCTAGACTAGATGTGTAATGGTAATTTTTAAATTGCAATCCTGCTCCTGGAACTAGAAGCGAGAATCGTTATGCCGCCATGATTCGATTCGATTATTAAATGCAGCAGTGCCCCCAAATTAATTGACGTTAATTTGTTCCATGAAACTTCAAATAGCGATTCATTAGTTAACGAACCCGTTTTTAGCATTTGCTTTTCTTTTTATTGTATGGCCCATAATTTCATTAATTTTGTTCAGAAAGTTGCAAAATATGATTACAAACAACGAACATTCGTAAGCTTGCACTACCACACATCAAGAAAGGCTGGCTGATGTGACTAGGCTTGTAAACAATTGCCAGTGTACGCTGACATTGACAGTCGTTCGTTGTCAGGGGAACGAATATCGTTTGGATATTTGGACATACTGTGGGAGTGCCGATGAGACGAACCGTCGATTAACGGAGATGGTTATAGTATCATTTCCTTCTCTGTAGATGCAGGCCTGATTTAAGATCACCATGACTTATCATCAGAGTGTCATTTGTGAAAGCGGATGTGTTCAGTTATCGTGGTAGGAGGGGATGTACATGTGTAATGCGTATACTATCCCTTTACTCAGAGGTCAAGAAGAAATTTTAAAGTGTGGTCAAGACTGCAGTAGCCATAATTGTAAAGTATGCGGTGTACGGTTTATCGTTAAGACTGCTTCCCGCAGCTGATAAAGACATTCTTCTTGAATAGACCCGCCAGGGTAGCCGATAAGTCACGGCCCGCTTTTCCGCTATAGTATATATATATATATTATAGAGGAGATTAAGCACAGGACCTCTTTACCTTCACCTTCGGCTATGAAATGTTATACAGTATACTCCAAAATGTCTGCAGAGACAAAAGATTAAACACGTTTGGAGAAAATCAAATGAAATAAAATTTAGAACATAAGCCGGAAGGTCGCGGGTTCAAGTCCCGATGAAGTCATTTGGATTTTTTTAATTGACCTAATCCTTCCAGCGGCACTATGGCCCTGGGGGTGACAGTCTCTAACAGAAATGAGTACCAGGAATTAACTAAATTATTTTCCTGGGGAGTAAAGCGCGGCCGGCGCGTAAGGCTGACAACCTTACCGCAATCTTTGAGCCGATTGTCTAGATAGTGTGGGACCCTCAACGTCTCACAACCCTATGGGCCTTCACGGCCTGGTACAGGGATAGTTTTACTTACTTTAATTACAGAGGGGTCTCGAAATGACTACCGGCTGTTTCTAAGCACGCCTTACATCCTATGAATATTCTAGACACATCGAAGCAGCTGTACTAGATAGCGGAAAATTAATGCTTGATATTTTCATGAAGTTCTTCCTAAGAGTGCTAATTTTTCACATACACTGTCTCTTTCAGCGTGGCTTGCGATTAAGAGTATCAAGGATTTAAATGTATAGTCACAGAGGCCACAATCTTTGACTTGAGACTCGTTTGCGGAAGACTTCATCTAATTCATCCGTAGACTTCTTCCCAGTATGTACCATTGCATTTTATTGAGCAAGATCCCCGTCCAATTTTTACATTAGTCAGTTTTCCGAAAAAGGATCACGGATTCAATCTCACTTAACGTTTGGAATTTATTGTTTATTGAAAAAAAACAGGGACCTAATTATCCTCCGCGCACTAATTGTACACGAAATCTCAAGAATCATATGAGACTTCATGAAGAGCGTTACGAGTTGCTATGATCCAGTGTCTGTTACGTATTTTGGCTGTCAGGTTACTTCGGCGGCATTTCCTACATGTAATGCATCGTGCAAACGTATCATAATATGAGTTTTTTTTTCTGTTCGGTACAATATTTCATTGTGGAACACTACAGTTCACAACACCGCGAACTATTTATACGTATCTCAAGGACAACTAAACGCTAAACAGGCAGTGTTATCGAGGTAAGCCAGCAAACTGCAGGTGGGTAGGTTTGGGCGAATAAATTCCCAGCCTACCGGTCTAAAAATTATTTGGATTTTCTGTATAATAGGCATATTAGCGGAAATGTGGATGTTCCTTTATTTGAAGTAAAAATGTATTATTAAGGTGTAAACCAACTGTTTAAAATTAATATTCATTTCATGTATCCTGTTGTGTTATAATATACAATTTCTTTATTAAAACCTTCACAACACAACTATATTGAGGTCAGTGCCTAGTTTGGCTCTGCTACATGTTTCGGCTATTAAAAGCCATCATCAGGCAGTTGTTGTTTACATTCCCTACAGAACGGACAATACTTTGTAAGATGATGCACCGACTAAATAATTAACATTAATATTACTACATGTACATCACGAGCTTCCAAAACAGTTTATTATATACACACAAAATATAGAATACGCCAATTTGTCCGTGGGAACACAACAAATTCACAAAAACCAACGACTGGCTCGATGACGTAAAGCATCAATCAAAGAATTTTATTCTTGTTTTATACTATAACTTTTGCTTTATATAGCCTATTTATTGTATTTTTACGCTAAGTATTTTAATATAATTAATATTATTGTATCCAGTTTTACTAGCACTGCAGTTCAGTGGTGTATATGTTAGCCATGTAATTGCCTGATGATGGCTTTTAATAGCCGAAACATGTATCAGAGCCAGACTTGGCACTGACCTTGATATAGTTGTGTTGTGACGGTTTTAATAAAGAAAATGTTTAAAATTAAATCACAGGACATGTCCTACAGTATTAATAGAAATTTTCCCTTATATCTCATGTCGACAATTATAGTTCTTAATGACGTCTGTCTGTTTGGCGTCGTGCCAGGTCTGTTTTAGGAAAACTGATTAGGATGTAAATTTCCTCATTAAAATCCGCCACAACACAACAACAAAACAGTTGATGTTTAACAATATTTTCCCAATAATTTTAATAAAGAAATTTATATGTGTAACACAACAGGTGTGATTAGAATGTTTTATAAACTATGATTTGTATTCGATCAACATGAATTTTTTTTGCTAGTGGGGTGGGACTAAGTCCCTTGTACTGCGGCCACTTCTGGCCTATTGTACCAGCCCCAGATGATAGGTGAGGGTGATTGTGGAGCAATTGGTGGAATGAAGATTGGCAAGGGAAACCGAAGTACTCGGAGTAAACCTGCCACAGCGCCACTTTGTCCACCACAAAAACCCACTTAACCAGAACCGGGATATCAAGCAATATTTCCATTGACACTTTTTTTCTCATAATCTCCACCTTCTGTCAGAGAGAGGGAGAACGACCTAGAGTCCCGCCCGTTTTGAACAGCGGGTTGTTAATTAACTGGAAATATATTTCGCCTTTGTAACATCGTTCATTTTTGGTATAACGACGTGTGAAACCGAGAACTGAATATTTCCAGTTTACATCTTTTCGATATTCAGTAAATCCCAGTTTAACGCCGTGGATATGTTCTTGTGAACCTCACCACTATGAAGCGAAGTTACGCGGGCCAATTTGTACCATAAGAAATTTAAGGAATGAGTAAGTTAGGTTCCGAAGCCTTTCTCCATCCTGTAACATGCATTATAATACAGGCAATATGACTACGACTGTAAGTACTTCTATATCCTTGGCTATAATTTTATGAAATTATAGACTACAATGATGTTTATTTAAAATTTAATATGACGTATTCACGATTGACAAAGGTGAAGTGAGCAAGCGGTTGATGACGGCCTGGTCTTGTCAACATTAAACACTTGTTTGGGCGAGTAACCCTCTTCTTCTTAATGGCCGCGCCATAGCTCAAGCGATTAGTCGCTGGGTTCCCACCGCAGCGTCCCGGGGTTCTGGTCAAGTGGGATTTGTGGTGGACAAAGTGGCGCTGGGGCAGGTTTTCTCCGAGTACTTCGGTTTCCCCTCCCAATCTTCATTCCACCAATTGCTCCACAATCACCCTCACCTATCATCTGGGGCTGGTACAATAGGCCAGAAGTGGCCACAGTACAAGGGACTTAGTCCCACCCCACTAGCACTAAAAGAAATCCTCCTCTTCGAGTATTTGCTGAAACTCTTGGTTGAACAGCGACTTAATAACAGTTAATACGTTTTGTGGAGGCTA